TTTGACAGGAATCTCCCATCAGCTCTTATGCCCTCTCGTTCCATCCAGTGACTTTATCACCCGCTGCAAGGCTGCGGTGAGCAGGTTCGAGACTGTGTCGTCTTTTCGGACCCCCTTCCACTGGAATGGTCAGAGGGTGGCGGAGAGGCCGTATCCTCGTTGTATAGTCCTAGCACCACTAACGTTCTCAGTAGGCTGAATCAACTCCTTGGTCGACTAGCCCTGAAAGGATGGCGTTGTTTTCGACGCTGTTGAAGGCTTTCTCGTAGTCGACGAAGCTTAGGACGAGAGGCAGTCGGTACTCCCAGCAGACTTTTATGGCCTTCCAAATCGTCTGGATGTGGTCCATGCAGCTGAATTCTTTGCGAAATCCAGCTTGTTCTTGGAGATGAGCTTTAACAAGTGTCCTGGGTATGCGAGCGAGGATAATCTTTGTAAAAAGCTTGTAGAGCACACTCAGCAAGCCTACATCAAAGACCTCTCGTTTTCCCTTCTCAAGGGAAGGACAGCCCCTGAAGTTCTCCACTTTTCGAAAAAATTTTCCTTCTGAAGATAAGATGTTAAATGCAACGCTAGAAACTTGTAGATTGTGTCCTCTTGCTCACAAAAGTTCGACGGAAAGGTCATCTGGTCCAGGAGCCGGACGTCTTCACGGTTTGTATCGCGGTACCACTTCAGCAGGTAGAATTCGTGGTGGTACTTCTCCGGTGGGAACAACGGGCATCGGCACGGGTGTTGATGAGCGAAAGAGGTTGTAGGTTTTTTGCGATAAATTCTTCATATAATGAGAAGAAGTCGAATTTCCATTTTCGTTTCAATAGTGCATCTAGTGACATGTGATGTTCACAAAGGTCACTTCGGCATTTCTCAAGACTTCGTCTGTTCTCATCAAGCTGGCTCGCCGGTATTTTCTGACATCCTCCTACAACGCTGTTCTGCAACTGGCTTTGGCTATTAGCCGCTCGAGATGGGTTGCGCTCGGATTTTGCCTCCTGGATCTTCTTCTTTCGAGTTGTTTCTTGTCTTCGAAATGCGTTCCAAGTTCTGCTCTGAAGTCACTGAGGCGCATTCTCCGCAGGCTCGCAATCCTTTCAGTCAGAAGCCGGTCGTAGTCGTACGTTGAGCCCTCTTCGATGGGCCGGTCACAACTTAATATGAGCTTTTCCAGGGTGTTACCGTCATAAACGACTTCCTTCCTTCTTGCGGTACTGTGACAGACTTTCCCTTATTCAGCCTTTGACTGAATCGTATCGTCGCTCGAAGGAGGCGGTGATCGGAGCCACTGCAAAAGGATGGAACTACTAAGACATCGAGCAAGCTTTACCTTCGATTGGTGAGAATGTGGTCTATCTCCGCCTGAGTTGTTCCGTTGAGCGATTCTTATGTTCGCCGGCGATGTTCTTTCTTCATGAAGAGATGGAATTTCCAGGAGAAGTCGTGCGGCGGAGAGAAGCTTAACGAGACGGTTGCCGTTTTCGTTTCGAAGCCCATATCCAAACTTCCCGATCCTATATTCCTTTTCTGATGGCATCCCCGTTTTCGCGTTGAAGTCGCCCACAATATATTTGTAGGACCTTTCGTAGCGGACGACCTGCTCCACATCTACGTAGAAAACTTCTAATTCTGATTCAACAGCTGCTGATGCTGGAGAGTAGAAGTCTTATGGTCTTCTGACGTGGAAGTCGAGGTGATAGGATATGCTAATTGAGCTAGACGCTAGATGGATTAGCGAAAAAGCCAACGCTCCCCCCCCCCCCCGCGTTTCGTGACGCAGCTTTATCACTACGAATGAAAAAGATTTTATCACTCATCTCTCGCACATCCTTACTGATGGAATTCGTTTCTCGACGTGATACTTGATGTGCTCTGCAGCGTCGAAGAAAGTGTGAAGGTCGGCGTTTATGGAGACTGTCCTGACGTTGTAGGTGCAGAGCATAACGCAATCCCCACTTCGTGTCGCCCGGGCGGACGTGTCGTTTTTGTCTAATACAGAAGGCTCCTAGGACCCTAACAACGTTCTTGCTGCCACCCGATGCCGTAGGTGGGACCCGATGTGTAGGGTTCATTTCTATAGTTTTGGTTGATAGAGTGACTGAAATTCTTTCCCTATAACGGCCGACTTACTAGCCCTTCTTGACTTCCACGGGCGATTTCTAGCTCCGGGTGTGGTTCGGGGACCGCCTAGCGATCTAAAAAAAAGACGGAGGAGGGTTTGACGTGGTCGCTCTTAGCTGGACATCCGGCTCAAATTGGATATATCAACCCCTTCTCTACTTGGGAGACCCTACCAAAGTATATACTTGGCTGTGCATTGCAGTTCGATTCCCAGGGCCCAACCCCTTGTAATCGAACTGCAATGCCACGATGAGGCGGCGGACAAGTGGAGAATATTTATTCAAAAAAGAACGGAAAGACTTGACTTTGCTTTCGACTGTAGCTGTAGGTTTGATTCGTTCGCTTGAAGGCAGCGATAAGGTAGACCCCTGCCAATTTTAGTGGTGTTTGGTAGTAGAGTAAGTATACAAGTTCCTGAAAAATCTACTATTTCAGAGTTTTGAGCCCAAAATGCTCAGTTGTTGATAATTGTTGATATTGTTGATACAGGGGGGTCAAAAAAATTCAGAGGGGCCTTCGCAGAAAAATTTTATATTCTAAGGGGATTCTTTCTAAAATCTGCCTGGTTTCAGCTGGTGCCGAGCCCTGACTCCTTCTGTATCCCTTGGTAGAGCTCCAGCTGGCCTACAAATCTTTCCAAAGTGTAGGCCAGGTGCATTGGACAAATCAATCCCAGCACACATAAGATGCAAATGTTTCAGATTAAGTATACTGCAGAAGAATCAAAAGATGTCATAAAATGCGGCCTCGAACTCTTAAAACAAGAGCATACCCTAGCAGAGATTAATCCGCCTATCGTGATCGTAGGAGACATTCATGGCCAAATCTGTTTTCGCAAATCTTTATTGCTGACAGAATGGAATGAGATTTCAGTACTTTGATTTGTTGCGAATGTTCAGCAAGTTTTCTGAAGGCAATCAGCATGGGAGCATGCGGGTCAAGGTGATCTACTTCGATAGAAAATTAACAAATGCAAGAAGATTTTTAGTACATCTTTCTCGGTGATTATGTGGATCGTGGCCGACGCTCTTTAGAATGTGTATGCTTAGTTTTCACTTTGAAAATTTTATTCCCACGAAAGGTAAACCACGAAGTGCGTAAAATTATCAGTTACACAGACATTCTCAGTATCAATTATTGCGAGGAAACCATGAATGCAAAGGCATTAATCGCGTCTATGGATTTTACGATGAACTCCTCGATCGCTTTGAAAAGGTCCATATCCTTGCACATTCTCATATTCTCCATTTTCACTTGTGCTTATTCAGGAAGAAGCGGAAAGGCTATGGCTCGGTTTCAACGAAGTGCTCGCGTGGCTACCTTTAGCGGGTCTGGTAGGAAAGTAGATTTTGTGCATGCAGGGAATATCTGCTTACTTGAACTCCTCCCTTGAAGACATACGAAAAGTAAGACAATCCCTCCAACTTGCTACTGAAAACATACAGCTTCAAACATGAAGTCGAGATAAAAGTGTCACAAGTATTCTCTAACACGTGAACACTTCTTTGCACACTTTGTTGCAACATGAGAAACTACTTACTCGAAAACAGTTCCAGGCGAATGTTTTCACCTACTTTTGCTCAGAAAGCGCTTGGAGAGTATGTAAGCCAGTATCTGTAGGCATGTGGCTTATTTTCGGAAAAAGTCAGCGGCCAATACGGTACTAGGCTGGAGTTTAACGGTGAACATCTTTGATACAAATTAGTATTCTGTCTCAAAAATTAGCTTAGTCAGTGCCTCTTTACTCACCACGAGATTCAGTCACAAAAAATTTACCTAACAAACCTGCCTATGAAGGTACCGTTCACCCACAATGAGGTGGTAGCGAGGCCCCTAGCCAAGTAATTGCACGGGTCCCCTTATGAATTCCGGAGGGAGAAAATCGCTTCAGAAGGTGAAGCGACTCACTCAGATAATCGCCAGGGAGGCGGTCCGCGAACTCGCGCTTTTCTGCAAACGGTCAGCAAAACTTTGGGGCGTGGCCAAACCTTCAGCGGGCGGCACTTCCCTTACGGTCGCATATGCTGCCAGCGGGCAGCAATACAGCATTTTTTGCAAGCGCTCGGCAAATAATCTCTTTCATCGGATCCTCGAGAATGTGGCCACTGGGCCGCAACTTATCCATAGAAAAACCGCGATAGTTCTCTGAGCGTTCGTCTGAAAATTGGCCAAAATTATCCCAAATTTCTGTAAGCGGACCGCAAGAAAACAGCGAACTATTTTTCCGATGCCTGCTTACTCAAAATTCGCATGACCGACTGCCCCCGGCGATTATCTGTGCAGGTGGCTCCGCCCAACAACGGGTTGGTTTGAAGGTATAAAGTACAAATTCGGACTTCACTTTATCTAAAAGTTGTTATAAATCGCTACCTTTCCATCTAATGAGCTCGTTTTCGAGCTCAATTATTCTCATACCACCAAACATTGATGGGAAGAGCCACTTGGGCCGCTCCTATCTTCTAAAGCGATTCCGCGCTTTGGAACTCATCTTTTGCATCGGGGCATGGGAATTACAAGTTAGTGGTCTCGCTATTGCATAGCACCAAAGTCTCAGAATATTGAACTTGGCTTTCTTGGATATAATCATAAGCATGAAACTGCAGATTGCACGGCCGTTGGATGAACCTAACAATAATCCCCTCGCCATGGATCTTCTTTGGGCTATCCCATGCTGAACATTCAAGGGTAATCACCTTTATTAATATAGATGCTCAACCAGTGACTTAAGGTATGCGCCAAACACTGTTCGAGGAGTAGCAACATTTTTTGGGGAAGACACAGTACTCCAGTGTTGCGAAAAACTGCGAGTTGATCTCATAGTTCGAGTCCATCAAGCAAGTACACCATTCAAAATCACCAAACGTAGATCTGATATTTACTTTTAGATGATGATGTCTGGATATGGTTTCTTTTGTAATAGAAAATTAAACACTATTTTCACAGCTCCTCGTTACCAACCCGAAGCAGTGAGTTTCTTCGCCTTTCTTGACAAAATTCTCAAGTTTGCGTTAAATGCGACAAGAACGACATCCTCATTCCCTACAATCATAAGCAACCTCATGTGATATTGTTATTCAGCTCATTTTTGTCTGAGAAAATCTCGAATAAGTGATTGCGCAGATGTATCAAGAACTCTTACTTCTTTTAACAGTCCTCTCAACAACACAGAAGAAAGTGCTGCTTTACCTTATCATTCAAGTATCATATGTCAGTTTTTTTCTAGAATAACAAAGGTGCAGTCGTCTACGTCGACAAGCAAGGAAAAATTGGCTTCAAAGTGCTCTCACCGCTAGAGCAAGCTCCGGATCAAGGCCAAGGAGGTGAGCTTCGCCTTGAAAAATATGGATGGAAATTCTGCAAAACATACGTGGAATGGATAAGAAAACCTCTTGTTTTCTATAAAACTTTATGGTAATTTAGTGTAGAAGTGTGAACAAGCTTCAATGTACCTGCCGTAATCTATTCGTACTTGTTTCAGATGACACTCCAATAAAAGTAGCGGGACCTGACGACAAGTCTTTCCGAATGTAAGTTTCTTGCAGGAGTATGTCTATCAGGTTTATATTCGCTGTAACGTTAAAAATGGTATTTCAGAAGAAGAGGCCAAATGACTGGTCAACCTAGATAGGTGAGCTTAATTTGGATATTAAGTACTTCATTTGCTTTTCTATGACGAATAAAGAAGGCTGACAGTACCGGGAAGTGCAACCTATAAGCCTTAGTAATGCTATCCGTCTCCCCATAACTTGAATCATGATTTGGGGGAATCAATGGGACATGTGGGCTGCAGTTAACTAAGCGGGTTCCAACCTAGGAAGTCTCATCAAGAAATCGCGATTTATTTTAGATCAAAGCACAAACGCAATATGACGCGATATCCACATTTTTCGCAGATTCCAAGTAGTCACTTTTGCAATATTCCTTCCTACCACGTTAAACCTACAAGGTGCTTTGCAATCTCCGTAGTTGTTAACTCATCTCTTGGACGTGAAGAGTGCTGAATGGGCGCAAAGAAAGAGGCCAGCCCTTGGAAACGACTGGTTCCAAACACCGTCTAAGCTTCTTGGATGTCGCTAATCTTGCAAAATCTTCCGTCCAATTTTCCAAGGTTTGCCTCCGTACGCGTCCAATTAGCAGTTTTACAAATATTTTGATACTAATTTCTTAGTTGCTTGTCAGCCTTGTATGTACAGAATCTTTTTCAGAAAACAAACAAAATTGGTATGGATTCATGAAGAGCTTTTTAAATACTTCAACTTCTATTCCTCTGATTGTTCCTAATCGTGCGAGTGCGGTGTCTCATTGCTGCAGTGAAGATTAAATTTTCTAAATTTTCAAGACAACATCGCAATTTAAACAATCTAAGTTGTGGCAAGAAAAGAGGAATTGTGTCTTATTGGAAGTGATGTTTCACCACATTATCACAGAGGTGTCTATGGGTCTGGTCTGGATTTTTGAGTTTGTCAAGTGCAAATTGTGTCTGCTAGAAGGCTGTAACTTTTGTAAGGTCAGAGTAGTCATGGATAAATGGCAAAAAATTTCCCTTAAAACACTATCTCAACGTTGCTCTTTCGAAATCGCAATTGAGGAAGGGGGGGGGGAACTAAACAAGTCCTTCAATATTTATCCATACAATGACATCGAAACACCAGAATCGTAACAAGAATATACAGTCTTTTTGAAATTGCTGTCACACTTTCTAAATCCATTTTGTTTTTTTCTTGTAGGGTGCTGCTAGAGAAGAATCGCAGCTGATAGAATTGAAGATATTTCCGAATGATAAACTGTCTGAATACTAATAAACTCACAATCATGATCAAAAATTTTCTGCTTGATTTTATGCAACTTCGTCATTCATAAATGGTCACACTTCTACACAATAAGAAAAAGAAAGACTTTGAAGCCGGAAACAGTACTTCAATCACTTACAAAACAGATTTGTAAGCGCCTATCTGTCGAAGTGGTTTTACATCTAGCGCAATATGCACTACAAAATCCAGCTGTTTGTAAAAGTTCTTTAAAGATCTCCTTTAGAAGTTTTCACTAAACTATTTTTGGAACTGCAGGAAGAGACAGTCAGGAGCCGCAATTTGCAAAGATTAGTTAATGGAAAAAGACTGCTGCGTACACTTTAACTAGATCTGCTTCGACGAATGAAGAAAGAGTGAGCATCTTTAATGGAAAAATCAAGGACAACTTATGCATCTCGGCTGAATGCTCTGAGGATTTTTACTGAAAAGCCTTAGGAAAGGCAAACTGAAACTTTTCTGGTAGGACATATTTGAAGAAGAAAAAGGCAATAACCTCCGGTTTGAGATAGGTTTGAAGGAAAAAAACAAACTGTTAATGCCTTATTTTAGAAAACCCGAAGAAATATCTTAGCAATTTTTCAAAGAGCAGTTCAAGTGCGAAAAATTGTGGACTTTAGAGAAGCCTTTCAAGAAGGGAAGTGTGAGCTTGCAGCATGTGATAGGACACAACTTGGGTAGAGGAGCGAATCAGAGGAGCCGCCAACGCCTAATGACCTGACAATATAAGAAAACAACGCTTATTGCAGAAATCGTTTTCTATTGTTTTCATACAGTCGACAACCGCCGTCACAAGCCTGTACCACATTGGCTGCCTTTATTTCGTTGGGGGCGGGGAACCATCAGGTTTTTAACCCTTCGGGACCTGGTGGTGGCAATTGCCACCATCAACTTCGAAGGGCAGTGTTACTGGCGCAAACAGCGGATTTCTATTACTTATTGCTATAGGTAGCTTCAGACAACCTTTGCCTTCCTAATAGTGATTTGCAAGCCCCATTTCATCCATGGTGGTACTAGCAATGTAGGAATTTTTGTGCGCAACTGGGTGACAAAAAATCGATAACCGTTGTCTGTCGCAGCATCTGCTGAAAAAATATCGATTATCTTCCCTGATAGTTGAAATGAATTTACACTACTAACAGAAGTTGAAATGAATTTACACTACTAACAGAAGTGTGGAGTATAATGTCACGCGAGCACATTTGCTATGAGTACGCAATTTCATCTTTGTTGGAAAAAATTAGAAAATTGATTGAAGGTTGGGAGAAAAAATTAAAAATAAAAACGTCTTGTTGTCGAAAAAGTTCCAAACTTCGCTGTATTGTTACTCAAACGCTGCCCTATCATAAGCAGTAGGTGAGCACCTCTCTCTTACTGCGAAAAAGTCAGGTTCTAAAGGGTAAAAACACCTACGCTTTACTTCATCCATGTTTTTCCCCTCCTGACCCCGCCAATTTGAAGGTTCGACTCTCATACATTACTTTTGTCTTCATTGTTGTCAGTATCCTTTGTTGTGGTTCGGATATGCTGCAAACTCGTTTCTGTATAGCAGTTTGTACTAAGTTAGCAGGTCCCAGCACGAGGGTGGCAAATGAACATCGGTAAAACGGCTTCGCCCTTGCCACTATCGATTTTTACGATCCTTCTTGATCCCGCCAGCTGCGTAGGTTGTTCGACTGAAGCGCGCTTTCTCCTTCCCGGCGTCGTAGCTAGTTGGATCCCAGCAAAGAGGAGAGGAGGAGTTTTGAAACCAAAATCTCATATATAGAAATGAATGTCTGTTTATCTGTATGTGTCTGTTTGTCTGTCTATCTGTCTGTCTGTCGTCTGTAAATATGTTCCGAATAGAAAATTCCATTTCTGAACCGATCCGGACCAAACTTTGCACAAAAGCACTTCAGGGCGGGACGGGTGTCATAGGCGACTTTTTATCATCGATCGATATCGATTTTATCGACTTTTATCGATTTTTTTGCAAAATTTGGCCTGCGGGGCTGGGAGTTGGCACAGGGAGGTAATCGAGCATGCTGATTGCGAATACAATATTAGTTTTCGAAATTGTCTATTCTTTTAATCAATTTTATCGATTTTTTGCAGAATTTGAGCTATGGGGCTAAGAGTTAGTTGGCACAGGGAGGTAAGTGAGCATGCTGATAACTAGCACAGCGGTAACAGGGAATTGCATGTAGAAGTGGGCACAGGGAAAGGCTGTACAGATATAGGGATGAGAGACTTGTAGTGTTTTGACAGGGCCGGGCGGAGCCGGGTAAGCCAGCTAGTGTTACTATTTACTGAGCTTTAGGTGTAGAGCAGATTTATGTAAAAATTCTGAAAAATTATGTGAAGGGAAGTTTTGCCAACCTCAGGTGGGCATGAGGTTGGCAATTGCCAACCTAATTCGGAAAAAAGTTGGGCACCCTCTTCATTCACATAAGTTTTTCATAATTCTTCATATTTTCTTCCCTAGTCCTACTGCGCATACACACACCAAATCTGGCACGGTTTTGTCGCCTCTGCGTTGCAACGACCCATTTTCCATTTTTTAGTAGCGGGAAATTTCCCACAAAAGCTCACAACCCTTCAGTCACATAATTTTTGATCGAAACTTCTAGGTTAAGCCTTGCAGGCCGTGTTCATGTACTTATCAAGTTTCATACCATATCGTCATCTGTGCTTTGCAGACGAGCCATTTCACATCTGCACTCATTAATTACGCAATTTTGGAAGAAACGCCTATCACACTTTCTACTCACACAAGCTTTCATAATTTTTCAAACTTTGTTTCCACTAGCCTCTCTTCGTTCGCTTACGAAATTTGTTGCCATATCGATACGCATACATTGAGAACTAGTCTTGTATGTTGTTACAAATAGCATCAGTTAAGCGATGTCGCGGGTGCGGCAGTCAGCGGTAGCGCGAATTGCCGCACGCGAACTCCTGTTCGCCCCTTGTGGGACACAGCATGTTAAGATAAGCAGAAAACATGAACTACCTATTTTTTCCGCAGCTTCGCCCCGGATCCTGCAAAAACGATATCCTCTTTGTTTTTTTACCCAAAACCGTTTCCAGCCTGTCATTTGCCCGCCCTGTACCAGGCCCTGTACATCAGTTCCCAGGTTGTCTCATAAGTTTTTCAAGTTTGATTTCTTACCGCAATGAGTAGCACATTTCTCAATTCTAATTAAGGCCCGTGTGCACGCACATCCCCGCGGGGAGTGGATGTGCGTTTTACTGTTGAAATGATCCTCGCTGGGGCTTCCCTCCCCTCCCCAGGCGAACCCTCGTATGCAAGCAGACAATATCGGCGAAGGGATTCCCCGGGATGGGAAGGGAACCCCCCTATGCACAAGGGGATCAAGCGGGGAAATCACTTTTCTTTCGCTTTCATATGGCGATTTTTTTGTATTCTCATTTTTTCACGACTGCTTATCTTCAATTTTCGTCGTTGGCAATGATTTAGGCGTTGCGGAATGCGCATCTGCCGTGAATGCGCTCGGCACACCAAAAATTATATTTTTTAGGCCCAATATAGTTCTGCTGCTGTCGTGATGCTGCTCACTTTCGCTCATGCTGCCCAGTGTAAAAGTGTTTAACAACAGAAGTAAGATCTCTCTGCAGAGGACGGGCAGAAGACTTTATGCTGCCGAAAAAAGGGGGAGGGGGAAACTAACCAACATTTCTACGCATAACAGAAGCTACGAATCGTGCTAGCTCTCCATGAACGCCGTAGCTATTAGCGACATATCAACCTTAACCTCAGGGGAATGATCCCCAGCGGCCATCCCTGCTATGCACGAGGGTAACGCTGGGGAGGAGATCA